GGGGATGTAGCTCAGATGGTAGAGCGCTCGCTTAGCATGCGAGAGGTACGGGGATCGATACCCCGCATCTCCACTTTCTATTTCATGTATTTTTTTTCTTTTCCTTTTTTTTTTCGTGGTCAAATAGCCACAATATTCACACATTCCCACGCATAATGATTATCTTAATCAAAGATAAGACCGCCACCCACTCCAGTGATTTTTGACATTTCATCACGCCTCCAACCAACTGATTGATCGATACTGCGAGATCTTGCACATATTCAGGCCTAAAATCGTTATCTTAAGACAGACCACAAAAGGGGAATCCTAGATTTTGCATTGAACAAGAAAAAAATGAGCAAGACAGTGAAGAAACTGCAAGTGGCATCTCCTGTGCCAGCAGATATAGATATAGCTAATTCAGTTGAACCACTTCATATCTCTGAGATTGCTCAAGAACTCAATCTTAGTCCTCACCACTACGATCTCTATGGCAAGTACAAAGCCAAGGTATTTATTTTTTCTGCGTTCTTGTGTAGATTTGCTTAATGAAGATGCGTATTTGTAATCTGTTAATGAATGCTAATTATTTACTTCTGTTTATAAATGGGATTTTCTTCGCAAATCAGTCTCAGATACCTTTATATATTGAGGCGATGATCTATGTAAATGCTTACGAGTATGCACTAGAGGAACTGGGTGATTAATTTTAGTTATGTGATAATTACAGGTATTATTGTCGGTGATTGATCAACTGCAAGGTAGAGGAGATGGGTATTATGTGGTGGTTGGAGGGATTACTCCAACACCTCTTGGAGAAGGCAAGTCCACTACTACTGTTGGTCTTTGTCAAGCATTGGGAGCTTTTCTTGATAAAAGGGTAATATTTGGGTCCCTTGCATTTGTTTTTTATGTCGATATTTCATGCATCGGTTTCTATATCTGCGAAACTCCTGTTTCGACTTTTAAGTAGTATAGTCGTGAGGCCAAAGCCAGAAGAAGAGTATGAGGATTGTGGGTATAATTTACGGTACAATTGGGAGCAGAACAGAAAGTAAAAAATTCTATTGGGCATGAAGAAACAACTGTTAAACTTCGAAAGCGTGCATCTTTCCACACTAATGAAGTGCATTTGACGCAGAGACAAAAATTATTTGTTAGAATCCAATGATTGGGAATTGCATTTTGACACATCCCTAGAGCCAGTTGTAGGGCATCTAACAATCTGAAATTTCTTCATTCTAGAATCTGTTAGCAGTAAGATTCTCCTTTAGCATTATTATTTATAGTCAATTAATTTGATAATGTCAAAGATAGTGTTATCTGGCTTAAATGCGAAATAAATTTCTAGCCTGACAAATTATAAAAATGGAACATTCTAACATATCTCTCTTTCTTACATTGTTTTAAAGAAAGGTGCTTTTTCCCCTCCCTCCTGTCTGGTTCTTGTAGGTGGTCACATGCCTTCGCCAACCATCACAAGGACCAACATTTGGAATCAAAGGTGGTGCTGCAGGTGGAGGCTATAGCCAAGTTATTCCAATGGATGAGTTCAATCTTCACTTGACAGGGGACATCCATGCAATAACAGCTGCAAACAACCTTCTAGCTGCAGCCATTGATACTAGAATCTTCCATGAATCCACTCAATCTGATAGGGCTCTTTTCAACCGGTTATGCCCACCGAATAAAGAAGGTAAAAGGAGTTTCAACAACATAATGTTTAGCCGTTTGAAGAAACTTGGCATCTCCAAGACCAACCCTGAAGAGCTTACACCAGAAGAAGTTAAGAAATTTGCCAGGCTTGATATAGATCCTGAATCCATCACATGGAGAAGAGTAATGGATGTTAATGACCGATTCTTGAGGAAAATTAGCATTGGCCAGGGTCCTGAAGAAAAGGGGATGGTAAGAGAAACAGGCTTTGATATTTCAGTTGCTAGTGAAATAATGGCAGTGTTGGCTCTCACAACTTCCCTATCTGACATGAGAGAGAGGCTCGGCAAAATGGTAATTGGAAATAGCAAGGCAGGTGATCCCATTACAGCTGATGATCTCGGAGTTGGAGGTGCTCTGACTGTGTTGATGAAAGATGCCATAAATCCTACATTGATGCAGACTCTCGAGGGCACCCCTGTTCTTGTTCACGCTGGTCCTTTTGCAAATATTGCTCATGGGAACTCATCAATTGTTGCGGATAAAATAGCACTGAAGCTGGTGGGACCTGATGGCTTTGTGGTTACTGAAGCAGGCTTCGGGGCTGATATTGGTACAGAGAAGTTTATGAATATTAAGTGTCGATATAGCGGTTTAACTCCTCAGTGTGCTGTTATTGTAGCAACCATTAGGGCCCTCAAAATGCATGGTGGAGGGCCTCAGGTTGTGGCTGGCAAGCCTCTTGACCATGCCTATGTGACTGAGAATGTGGCTCTTGTTGAAGCTGGTTGCATTAATCTGGCCAGGCATATCTCAAATACAAAGGCTTATGGTGTTAATGTTGTTGTGGCTATCAACAAATTTTCAACTGATTCTGAAGCTGAACTAAGTGCAGTCAGGAATGCAGCTTTTGCAGCAGGGGCTTTTGATGCTGTTATTTGTTCTCACCATGCACATGGAGGGAAAGGAGCGGTTAGTTACTAAATTTAGTGTTTTATTTTAGGGGTTATCAATTTTACAAGGAATAGTGCCTCGCTAAACTTCCGACCTTTAACCATTGCCTTTCTCTTCCTGAAATAGAGTAACGTTGAGGATGAAACTATTTCTTGCCGAAGAAGAAAGAAAAGGAAAACTAAAAAAGCAAATAGTAAAAGCACATAACAAGACCGCATGAAAGTTAAAAAACCCATGGCCACATGCCCTTCGCCAAATTTTTGCAAACATCTTTTTATAACCTATATTTGTTGTATGTTGACCTGTATCCATCAGGATGGTGAAAGTAACGTCACTTTACTGTTTTGCTTATTTCTTCCTGTTTCAGTTTGTTTCCCTCTTGTTGCTGTAACAGCAAAGTGAATCCAAAATCCAACACTTTTAGGTTGTAGAGGGATAGCCTAGTCTTTTGTTGAGCTAGATTGTCATGTCAATATTGTTTTGAGATTTTGCTTTTGGTTTGCATGTCTATTAACACATGTTTCATGCTGGGAAAAGTTTCATGTCCTGTGACTACTAATATAATTAAGGCATTCTATTAGCTGCTCTTTTTTGTCAGTTAAGCGATCAGCCTGCACCCGTATCTGGACAGTTGTATTTGACTGCAAATAAGCCGTTTCCTCCTGCCACTAATTCAACACTTATATTCCTTAAATAGCATCAAGTATGAAAGTCTAAACTTGTTCTACATGATGACTGTCGAAATTCTCCGAGATATGCAAGTTTGATGAAGAGGAAAACTGACCAGTTTTTAGGTCCTTTAGTATGTTATCTGGCTTCTGACAAGAAAATAGAACTGATAACTAGTTAAGCATCTGCAGTGGACTTTCAATAGCAGTCTCTTTCTACACTTTGATGGCCCATATGAATTCTGCTGCTTTTTATCTAATCAAATTATGAACAATCAACTGGGAGTATGTTCTAAATTTTCGTGCTGGTTGACAATTCACGATGGTTCTTTAGCTTGTGTCCCAAAAAAACTCAAGGCCTTGCTCACAGTAAATATTATCATGTGATATATATAAAAGGACATAGATTGAGACTTCAGTACTGTGGCATATTTTCTTTTCATTATGGACTGATGTGTTAATCAGGTCAGTAATATCAACTTTGATTGCTAGGATTTGACATCTTGATACACATGATGCCAAAGCGTAGGTATAAAGGTAATCAAAAAAGTTAATACAAAATTACATTTCATAATTCTAGACAATGCTATCTTTATTCAAAATGTTACAGCATAATTCAACTTCCTTAACCACCCAGAGGTTGATTAGGTACTCTTTCCTGCTATTTTGTGGCTTGCTCATAATCCGCATATTACCTGCAGACTCATTCGCTGTCTTTATGCTGATTAAAATGTCTTTCTTCTGATTATCAGGTTGACCTTGGCATTGCAGTTCAAAAAGCCTGTGAAAATGTGACACAACCATTGAGATTTTTGTATCCCTTGGATATAAGTATCAAAGAGAAAATAGAGGCGATAGCAAAGTCATATGGTGCCAGCGGTGTTGAGTACTTAGAACAAGTAAAGTATTTACGCATTCACATATTTTTATCTTTCCCTAATATCTCTGTTCAACAGCTAGAATTTGAGTTAAATGTTCATTGTTTCACATGCTTATCTGCCTTGATTGAAATGATATGAAGGTCATGCCAACTTTGTCCTTTTTTTTCCTTATATATGGTTCACTATAGCAAAATTGATTCTCTACACAATAGGTTGGCCTAAAGAGATAACCTGACTTTAACATAGGAGTAACTTCTGTTAATGAACTGGGCATATTGTGTAGGTGGTAGTACTTAGAGGTGATTCCAACGAACCTACATGGTATAGGCGTTTTTCTGAAAAATGATATAGGATCATTTTTAGACTGAATTTGTGGTCGAACAAGGTCTATTTTCAATGTGGTTGAACAAGGGACGTTTTTATATGGCTTTTACCTTAAATTTTGGTTTTTGATATTGATTTCATTGTATTTGGACGAGCAGGCGGAGAAACAGATTGAGATGTATAGCAAGCAAGGATTTTCCCACTTGCCAATCTGTATGGCGAAAACACAATATTCATTTTCTCATGACGCTTCACAGAAAGGTGCTCCAAGTGGTTTCATCCTACCAATCAGGGACGTCCGGGCAAGCATTGGAGCCGGATTTATTTATCCTTTAGTTGGGACAATGAGTACAATGCCAGGCCTACCAACAAGGCCTTGCTTCTATGACATTGATCTTGATACCACCACCGGGAGGGTTATTGGTCTTTCTTGAGCATTGGATAAAGCTCTTCAAATTTAGGTTTGGCTTTCATTTTACAAATAATTCAACTGCAGAATAATTGATAGGACTTCTGATGTCTCGATTCTTTGCAAGATTCTCATTTATGTTTAATGTTGCACATTTGGCTTAGCTTAAAAATGAGTCAAGGTTACTTTTTATTTCTAAACATATTTATTGACGTTCTCCCAAGTACAATTTTATTGAAAGAAGACTTGATGTCTAAGTTCACAGTTGCACACTTTCTAGATTCGGAAAAAGAAAAAATGTTTCACACTTGCAACATATATTGCACATGCTCGTCTAGTTGACACGTTTGCAATCAGCCCTGATTTCTCCATTTTTTCCTGTCAAGGGGCTTATGTTTCCCATTTTAGTCATGGACTGAGCAAAAGCATCGAAAAATTCCTTCTGGCTTTTCCCAAACCGGTTGACAATAGCAACCGTATCAGCTCCACTTGTTGAGAACAATTCCTGATCGGTCTGAAGAAGTCCCCTGTTATTCTGGAGGTTCGTGAAGTAGTCATTATCAAAACTGTTGGGACTCGAAGGATCAAGATTAGCTAAAGTCGCGCCATTTCCATCTTGAGGACAAGTTTGCTGTAATGTATCCAGGTAAGCAGAGTCCATGCTCAGGTCAGGGTTCCCCGTGTTGTTGAAATTGTAAAGCCGGTGACTGAAAACTGCACATTTGGCTCTCCCAAAGGTATGAGCACCTGCAGATTAAAAATAATTAGCTAACATAATTGATTATTATGCCAAAAAATTCATCTGTGTATTCTTTTGTAATACCTGATAAAGCAACTAAATCGGTGGAATCAAGACCTTTGGCGGTGAACTTGGACGTGATGTTATCAAGGCTCTCAAAAGGGCTAGGGATGTCACTATTGGCCCCCGCTTGGTTTGCTGTTCTGCTATCCCTTCTGCCTAGAGGAACTCCCCAATAGGGACCTCCTCCCTGTATTAGTTTAGAATTCGTCAAACACGCATATTTGGTACACTGTATTGGATAAGATTAAAGCAAGTTATGATACCAAGGTTACTGAAATTTGAGAGGCGAGAGCTAAAATATCTGCACATGAGACGACACCAGGACAAACGTTCTCCAATGCTGTTTTTATGTCATCAACCACATCGAATCCATCAGCTGAATCCTTATTGGGGCCAGCGTCTTTTTCGCTCTCTATGCCATCTGCATTATCGAGCAAAATCGAGCCATCGCAGCCCTGCTCAAAGTAGATACAAGAAATTACACCAATTTTCAAGTCAAATAAATCAGTTGAGCAATTTGCTCTGTTACTTATTCATGACAGCCCTC